CCCCTAGGTGCAGCCCTATCTGGTGGAGCAACTGATGAAGACTGAGCCTTACTTCTCCCAATTAAACTGGCTTGCCTACTTTTTGGACATTCTTTCATGAAATGTCTGGTCTGACCGCACTTGAAACAACCTGCGAAGACTTCCCGACAGACGCTGAAGTGATTCCTACAAGACTTGGCACAAGAAGGAGTCTTACTACCCCCTTGTGCCACACTACCCTTTGAATATATAGTCCTATCTTTGGAGTTCTGACAATGATGCTAATTCTGTCTCTAGAAGCACGTGCACTAGAAGACGATAGTGCATGCCCCTTTGATTTCTTAAATTGTGGTCGACTTAAACCACCCTTCTTTTAACCAGAGTCATTTCCAGTCTTTGCTTTCTTGTTTCAATAATTTTCTATATACCTCATTCTTTTCTCTCAACTTGATGCACATAGACCATTATCCTGGATATGTCCATGTCGCCAACCAACATTCCAGCCCTACCTTCTTTACTTGAAGCATGAGCCAAACCAGTGACAAACAAACTCATTATGCTCCTCATGCCTTTCACAATCTCCGGACCATAGCGAGACAGTTGGGTGAAATTCAATACATAATCATGAACACTCATACTGGAGAGTATGTGTCAAAGTAGTCCAGACCTTTCTTTTGTCTGTACCCTTTGACTCACATTCAGTTTTATACGAATGAATGTTTTCAAAAAAGACTTTGCTTTCTTCAAGTCAATTATCGTATTAACATGAATCTCATGATTATAAGATTTGTGAACCAAAAACCGACAGGTCTTATTATTCACAACATATGCAATAAATACATAGTCTACTATTTTTTGTACAATTTTAACCCTCTTTGGTAGAGGAACCTCTACCTTGGCTAAACACCCCCACACTTTGAAATATTTCAAGTTGGGTTTCCTTCCTTTCCACAACTCATATGGAATTGATTTTTTTTATGAGGTACCATATTGAGTATCATATTAGTCGTAAGGATGACTTCCTCCCAAATATTTCGCGGTAAACCAGAATTGATCATCAAGGAATTCATCCTTTCCTTTTATGTTTTGTTCTTTCGTTCCACTAAACCATTTGAGTGTGGTGTATAAGGTGCAGTAGTTTGATGATAATACCATATTCCAAACATATATCTGCCAAAGGAGATTAATATTCTCCACTCTTATAATTATGAATCATTTTTATCTTTAGATTCAATTATTTCTCTACTTTATTTTTCTATTGCTTCAAAGCATCAACTGTTTCATCCTTACTATTAAGCAAATATACATAACAAAATTGAGTGCAGTCGTCAATAAAAGTTATAAATAATTTTTTTCACCATGAGATGGTGTCGAATTCATATCACATATATCTCTGTGAATTATGTCTAAAGTTTTAGAATTTCTTTCAAATGACTTATAAGGATGTTTAACAAACTTAATTTCCATACAAATTTAACATTTCGATTTATCGCATTTAAAATCAGGCAATACTTCTAGAATGACCAACTTTTGCAAGGTTTTGTAATTTACATGTCCTAAACTAGCATGACATAAATCATTCGACTCCTATAGGTAAACAGAAGCAGAATTCTTATAAATACTTTCAACAACCATTACATTCATTTTAAAAAGATCCTCATTGAGATAGCCTTTTCCTATGAACATCTCATTCTTACTTATTACACATTTATCACTAACTAGGACACACTTAAACCCGTTCTAATAAATAGTGCAACAAAAAATAAATTCTTCCTAACTGTAGGGACATGCAGAACACTGTTCAAAGTAAATACCTTGTTGGATGTCATTTTCAACATTACTTTCCCAGTTCCTGCAATCTTTGCGGTTGCTGTGTTTCCCATGAACAAATCTTCATCATACTCAGCAGGAGTGTACATTGCAAAGCTTCTTTGCAAAGAAAATATGTCGAGTGGCACCTGAGTCGAGAAACCACTTCTTGGAATGTTAACTAAGTTACACTTTGAGATCATTGCAGATAAGTCATCTGCATCTTTCATCTCTTCCACGATGTTTGCTTGACTTTTGCCTTTGCCTTTGTATTTGTCCTTTGTTGGAGCACAAGAATCAGAAGACCTATGACCAGCCTTACCTCAGTTGTAACAGTTGCGTTTGAATTTCTTCATGGCCTGTTCTGACTTCTGCCCATTGGACTTCATTCTCTTTTTGTCTTTGGTAAGATCTTCTTCAACAATATTAACTCCAATGATTATTGAACTCTTACAAGACTTCTTTTTGGTGTTTTTGTTATCTTCCTCAATCTTGAGCGGAACCACAAGATATTCAAGCTTCATTTCTTTATACTTATGCTTTAGATAATTATTGAAGTCGTTTCACGAAGGAGGCAACTTCTTGATGCAGGCACTTGAAAAGTTTCATTTACTACCATATCTTCAACGTTCAGGCAGAATAAGTTGAAGTTCCTGCACTTTTGATCCAACAGCTTTACTATCTACCATTTATAGTATAAAAAGTTTGCGACCACAAACTTTTTTAAGCATGCATCTTCTGTCTTATATTTTTTCTCAAGTGCATCGCACAACTCTTATGAAGTTGTATTGCACTTTAGACACTATATAAGTCATTGTCTAAAGAACTCAAAATGCAGCCTTTACATAGGAAGTTTGCTTGTTTTCATGCTTCAATAATCATGAATTTTTCTTTATCTTGCATATCAACAACACGCTGGTAATTTCAGCAGACCAAGAGTGGTAAGCCAGAAAAATACCCATTGATGTCATTCTTTGAAATTCACACTAGTGAATTTACTTGGTTTCTCAGCTCATGGTACAACAGTTCGGGCCGGTATAACAACAGTCATTGTAAAACCAGTGTTTATCATTTCTGATAAATAAAAGTCGATACAACCTTATTAAGCAATACCTTATAATTGCAGACTGCAAGGAGTATAAAATCATAAAGATTTTTGTCTCCACCACACAAATTAATAATAATTAATTTTCTTAAGATTGTTGCCAATCTCTGTTAGAAAAATTCAGAATTAAAAATTCTAATAAATTTTGCAGAAACACAAAGTAATCAAAATTTAATGAACCAGTATGAAGGATGAATATAAATTTAATTCACAAAAACTAAAATATGTAAAATGTACTAGAATCTAAAAAAGTTTTAACAAGAAAAAGATCAAGTCCATTGAACTCACAGTGTTCCTTTAAGGAAATTATTCCCCTTCGATAATCGAGTTTTGGTTTGAAACGTGTCCTCCCAGGGTAAAATGACCCCAATCACCACCGTTTAGATACCGAAAACTATGGTGTCAGCGAACCACTCAACAATAGTAAAGTATACAAAGAAAAAAATTGTGCAGAAGAAGAAGAAGAAAATCAAAAAAATTGTGAGGAAAAATTCTGAAGAGTGAATGGTACTTATAGGCAAGAGGGACAGGTTCCAAAAGGTTGCAACCCTTTCAAAATCTATGCGACCATTAATGAAAGTTTGCAATCTTTCAAATGGTACTCACTGTTCCTGAAAGTTGCAAACTTTCAGAATAGTCATTTCCAAATTGGCGAGAAATTTAAATAAAACGGAAAAGTTTTTTAAGTCAAACGGGTCGCGCACGGATCGAAGTCGGCTAATGTTAATCAACTAAAAAGTTTTCAATAGAATAACTGAAAATGTTTTAGCCATTTAATTTAATTAATTAATTAAATAAATAAATAATTAAATAATTAAAACAAAACTTGTCCAAAAAATAATCTCTCGATCATTTTTCAAAGCCGAAGCCGAGCCGAGAGATGATGACAACGCGAGGGGGTTCCTCATTCCAACCCTTTTAACAATTAATAGGAGTGTCTCTATATTTAAACTCTCCTATTTTTCTTTCTACCACCGCTGAGGGACAAATGTATATTCATTAAAACATGAGAGGACTTTTCAAGTTCTGAATTTTTCAAGTTCCTTTCTTTCTCTCTATTTCCCATCAATTTTTGCTACATACCCAACATTCTAATCATAATAACATGTATCACTTCGTACCATGACATTCACCTGGTCTAAAATAACTCAGTACAATGATATTTTTTATTAGACACAAAATCTCATTCATTTACAATAATAGAAACATACATTCTTAGATGATTCACATACAATCAGGGTAATTATGATATGTTATATATTTATGCATGTGTGTTTGTATGTATGTGTATATAAATAATCATATATCACAATCGTTATGATAAGGCTTAAGTCATATACCGCCCCTCAAAGTTGTCCGCGTAGTTCACTTAGACACCTCAATTGAGACTTGTACCTATTGAACACTTAAATTGTTCAAAACCTATACCTATTAGGCACAAAATGCTGATATGGCAAAAAAAGTATACTGCACTTCCCTGAAGCGCGTGAAAAGACATAAAATAGTGTCTTTTTTATTTATTTTTTACATATTTTCTTCTTTAATTTACACTTGGCATTATAATTAACTTAAAAAATATTTTCTCCATTATTTACACTTTTTTCGAAAAAGAAAACACCCCACTCCCTATATATCATCTTCTTCATAATTTAGTTTACAAAACTTTCTTCATTTTAGCTCTAACACTGTTTTTTTTATTTTTTTATATATAAAAAATATGTATCTTCCATATATGAAGATAAATGAAAATCAACTATGAAGATTCAGATTTGAAAGAAAGTCTTCGTATGATTTATTTCAAATCTCATAAAAACAAGGAACAAAAATGAAGAAGATGGAAAAAGATAAATGATTTTTATGTATTACAATAGTTAACCAATATTTATTTATCACAATTTACTCAAATTCATATGCGGTCATTAAATTTATCAAAAATGATATAAGAAAATTTAAAAAAAAATATTTTGGAGCTATCAATTTCATTTTGTCATCGATGTAGAGTTGAATAACCGCCAACAAAAGTTTCTTTCTTCTTCACTCTTAGTATGAAAAAAAAATTAATCTTGAAGTTATTTGAAAATAATAAGATTTTGTAATTTGAGAAAGAATGTGTTTTGGGGAAGAAGATAAAGATGAAAGGGGGTTGCAGTGGGGTTGGGTAAGGTGGGGTAGAATAGGTTGACATTTTTATTTTTTATTTTTATTTTTTAAAAAATTAGATATTAGATGTGTGTGTTTTTATAATTTTTGGGCCCAATGCCAAATGTTATTTTTTAATTAGTCTAGTTTCCACATCACCGCAAGTGTATCACACACTCTTCACATTTTTTGTTGATTATCAAAAAATGTCTAATAGAAATGATTATTACATAGGTCAAAGTGTTCAATTGTAACTAGTGTTTGTTGAAGTGTCTAACTGAATTATGCGGACAAATTTAAGGGGCCACTGATGACTTAAGCCTTATGATAATAATAATTTATTCTTAAATAAATGCTTTGAGAATTAAAATCCACTATTTTATCCTTATTAACGGTCTATCACATTACCCTAGGGTCATTTAATGATTACAATTAATTCTTTAATACTCACATTATCTAAATTAATGGAGTTTCTACTCCAACTACCCCCTCTTAATTAAGTAATTTCTACGCTTAAGGTCTCATATTAATTAATTTCAAGGGATTAATAGATGAAGAAGTTGATGGAGAAACTTACTTCAGTGAAAAGTTTTCATTACAGCCTTAGTATAATCGCTCCTCTAGAGATTTGAATGAGGTTTTGCAGTTTATGACATAAGACCCATCGAAACTTACTTAAAACACTGGTAACACTTTGCCATAGCGACCCTGCTTCGTTATTTTCTATAGCAATTGCTCTAAGGCAAACCACTCATTGCTATGATGAAATTGTTAGGATCGAATTCACACACACACTTGATGAATAGAGAACACAAGAACATTAGAGAGAATTAGATGAGAGATCTAGAGAGAGAAAAACAGAAACCAATATTTCGTGGTAACACCCCGTGAGTAAACTTCCAGGGCGGTGGGGTATATATATTAATAAATTAGAGTATTTTTTGTTATAGATAATAAATGGAGAATAAATAGTACAGCATAAACAATTATATATATTAATCAGGCTCCACAACCTAACTAAAATAAGTTCTCAACATTGACACTTTTTACTAAACGCTTATAACTTTCTTCTTTAGACTCAAATTAATGAATAACCAGTGGTATTGGAAAGAAAACTCGAAGACCTTTTATTTGATAGTTTTGTGAATAAATAACTCTTTAATAGGAGAGGTTTTCTTTGATGTTGACCCTAGTAAAAATTTATATTGAAACTCAATCGCTAAAGTCACTTTGAACTCAACTTCGTTTCTAAGGGTTCCACATGACTTTAGTGCGTATCTAATGCTCTCACACACTCAAAATTGATCTTAACACATAAATAATTAAATTTCATCAATTTCGATCTATCTATACATATAGGGTGGTTTTAAGCCTTAGCCTAAAAGTTTGAGAAGTCACAGTAAACAAAATAATTGATCTCTCAACTATAATTCATATTTTAAAAGAAACAAAAAAATAAAACTCTTAACTAATAAACATTAAGCACATGTGAAAAATATCTCCTCAATTGGATGGGTAAACAATTCACCTTCATTGACCATAAAGCAAACACCTCAACGTCAAGAAAAAGGGCATTAGGAAAAACAAATTAAAGCAAACAAAACCAAGCATTGCATCATTTTGTTTGTTCATTTCGTATCTCTCCAATATTTAGTTTTTTTTGCTTTAGTTTTTTTCACCTAATGCCTTTTTCCTGTTATCGAGTGTCTCCATTTGTCGAGTGTCTTCTTTTTTATCTACGACGGTGTACTATTTGAAAATTCACCTGGACTTTCTTGACTAATCAAAGGCTCAAAATAATAATCCCCAATTCTCTTCTCTCTCAAACCCTAAGGATAAATAAAAATAGAATTCATTCAAGATTTCTTTAATCTTTTTCAAGCTTCTTCTTCAAGGTAAATCTTTCTCCAAGTATTTCATTCTTTCCTACTCAAATTCCTCCATACAATTATGAATCACAAATGAAAATCAGAATAACTGGTCATAGAGATTTCAAGAAACTAATTCAAGAATCTCAAGAAAGATTTTCTTAATTATTTACCTTCAAACTAAGGTTCAAAGGCTTTTAATCAAGTTCTTATTCAAGATTCTTCATATAAGGATATTATAGTGTTTCCTAGTTATTCCTCACACTTTCTAAATCAGTAAAAGAGTAATCTAGGATTGTATCCCTAGATTTGAGTATTCCGGAGATAAGTTGATTTTGAGTTCTTGAGTTCATGTTTCTTTTTGAAATTCAATTTTTAATTATTGAATAGTTATAATATTTTATAAAATAAGATTCTTGAATTGATTTCTTCATGTATATATTTTACATGAACCCTATGAATTGAGTATTCTTGAGGTGAGTCGGGTTGTTGAGTTCTGAGTTTTCATATTGCTATTAAGATCGCTGAGTTGAATCGTTCATGTTCATAATATTACATGCACCCTATGAGTTGATTTATAAATACTGATAAGCTTTTTAAAACCAACATTAATTTGAGTTTTTGAGGAATTAAAAAATGAGTTTTGAGAAAGAGTTTCTAAAACATGATTAGTATGACAATCAAGTATGTCATCAATGTTTAAGAAGTATGGTATCTACATATGCCATCAATGTTTGACTATGACTTCCCGAGTCATCAATTCATATTACAATATGATTTTGATATATTTTGTAGAAAGAATTTCAGCTGAACTCTTAGATTATACATTGCATCTGGCCTTTTGAGATGCAATGTTGCTTTTTTCAGTTTCTGCTTTTAGTAACTCTTGTTTTTGCAGGTCCTTATCACGGTGGAGTTTGGAAAATAAAGGTGGAAATTCCAGATGCATACCTGCATAAATCTACGTCAATTGGTTTTATTAATAAAATGTACCATCCAAATGTTAATGAGATGTGAGTTTTCAACAGCTTAATTCTGTAGATAATTTCATCCTTCTAAGTGTTGTTTTAGCCGAAGTCTGAAATTTCAACGCTTATCATTTTTCAGCTCAGGATCAGTTTGTTTAGATGTTATCAACCACACCTGGAGTCCCATGTTTGGTAATTGGATATGAGCAATGATAAGATTTTGAAATTTCTATGGTTTTTCCGCCCACTTCCTTTTTAGTAACTTAGCTGGTTTTGAAACAATTTCCACAGATTTGACAAATGTGTTTGAAGTGTTTCTCCCACAACTTCTCTTGTATCCTAACCCGTCGGACCCATTGAATGGGGAGGCAGCTGCCCTGATGATGCGAGACCGAACTTCATATGAACAAAGAGTCCAAAGGTATAATGATCCATATCAGCTGCTTATTTGTTAAAAAAATTTGTGCTTACTTTAAGTGGGCGAGAAGAACGAACTATTAGAAGTCCTTGAATCTTTGAGTCAGGTAGACTCAATAGAATTAAAATCTCATAGCTTTAGTTTGGTTTAGGGTCCACTGGAGACAACCTCTCTACCTGTCAAGGTAGGGGCAAGGTCTGCATTCACTCTACCTTCCCCAGATACCACTCGCGGGACTATACTAGGTATGTTGTTTTTGTAGCTTAGAATTTTGATTGGTTCCTAGGGAATTGGTTATCCTTTGTTTTCTTGATATTTGTGCGTTGATTATGTTAGAATTCTATTGTAGATCTAATTTTCTTAAGTTAGCTTCTCTTAAACTATTCATGGTTAGACTATGTTCGGGTGAATAGACAACAACATATGGGCCTAACTATCAGTTATTGTCCCCACTTAACACTTGCTGTCTCAAGAAGGACAGACCTTTTAATTCCGACACAGTTGTAGGTAGATCAGTATTTTCATTCTGTTGGTCATCTGTAGTGTATAATTTATGAGTCTGCTTCGATAAAGATGTCCATTTGATCGAGAAGTATGGTCTAAATAATGTAGAAACTTTCTAGCAAACCAACTTTATGGCGACTTAGGTATGGATTGTTTTGATAGTGAAGAAAATTCATAGTTAACGTATTCCTAGCATTCCAAACTAGCTTGCGGAGTCTTAGCATCCTCAATCTACTTTGTATCAGTCCTAATCTGATGTGTTTGGTTTATTACTAGAGGAAGCTAAAAAAATGGGAACTTCTAGATGTTGTTCGCTTAAGTCAACCTACCTATTAATGCTTCCATTATCTGGCCTAGTTTTAAGGTGAAATGCAGAGAGTATGTTAGATTTCTTACTCTATTTTATATGGGACTACCATGTTAGATACTTCGACCACAGCATTAACATACTTATCTTACATAAAGCAACTCTTTTTTCAGAAAATTCTTTCATGTGGGTATTTTGCTTAGAAATTTGGAAAGGGCAGAAAAACTCTGTTGTTCAGACTCGTCAAAATGTCGTCCACCGTATAGGGTCCACCAAATGTAGTGCATTTTTAGAGATTCAACACAGATGTTGCTTGGACATATTACTGTTAATTTATGTCTGCTTAAAATCTTCAAAATTGTTGTTGCATCAGTGTCTGATCCTCCAAAAGTGCACTACTTTTGGAGAATCCAATATGCACTCGTCGAACTGCATAGTTAAAAAAACAAAAAACAAACTATTGATTGTGAATGGGATCTGAAAAGAAGTTTCCCTCTTCATGTTCTTTTATATGTGTGTGTTTCGCGCATTTATCTTCTTCGATTATTAAGTTTCTTCATTAAAGCTCGATATTTTTTAGCATTTCATGCTAAAACATGGATGTTTGGTACTGCAACAGAGTATTTTGGCATGGCAGGAGAGTAAGAGCAGATTATCTAACATCTGACATACAAGTTGTAACAAACAAATGGATGTTTTTCTATAAAAAAAATTTTAAGTAATTATTTGATATTTAAAATAATAATAATTACAATTTGATGTTTTTAGGACAAAAATTACTTAGTTACACATAAAGCAACTCACTAAATTGTAGTATTCCACCAAAAAGTTTCTGTACGGGTTTATAAGTGTCTATCACATAGATAAGTTAATCATTATAAAAAGTCTATTACGTGAATGAATTACATAAAAATGTCTCGATGTACTACGAAAAAAGATACTTATGACTCATATGTTGAAATAGTTTCCACCTATGTTCACTAGAGTCTACTTCAGAAATTAGTTAATCACATAAAACAATGTACCGTAAATTAGTCAATCACATAAAACCATCTATCGCGTTTTTTTTTTTTAAAAAAAACATCCGACCTGCCGGATTCAAACCAGCGACCAAAAGATTTCAGCAGTGCCACTACAGTCTTCCGCTCTACCAACTGAGCTAAGGTCGGTGATTATATAATTGAGTCACAAAATATTGTAAATATTATATTATAATAACTAAAATGGTGTGTTCTACTGACATTAGACCGCATGTATATTCAATTTCATTTGGCATAAATTTTAAATAACTATATATGTTATTAAGCAAAACATGTTCTGAAGTAACAAAACTAAATTACAAATGATGAATGTAATTGGATAGTGATGACTGATAATGGTTTGTTAGAATGTAGAACAGTCCGTCCTTATAATTTTTGATCAGTTTATTATTTAGAATTTTGAAAGATGATCAAGGTAGTCTGCTTCAAAGCTATTGCATTATATGGACATGTATTCGCAAATCACAATATATAGTCAACCCTTCTCTTCTTTACTAAAATAATACTCATCATTTTACAAAATCAATACATAAATAACATTATTCTTCATATATTACCCATTAGAGATAAGCCTTGAGAATATGAATTTGACCAACATCAACAAACTAAATATTTAATTCATATTCATTAGTCAATTTAATTAATCAAAATAATTAATTTATGTTTATTTATTAAAAAGACAAAGATGAATCAGTCAACATACTTTTAAGCGTATTTACTAATGTATAAATCATTGTGTTGTTGTGTGCCAAACGTTGTATGTTGAGTACATATACAACACATTTTGAGGAATTTAGCAAATGTAACTAAGTGGTTGTCCAATTTTATTATATCTTTCATTATACTCACCACCTCAATCTTATCTAATTATTTTCTCTATTTTTGTCTAGTATCATTCAACCTCATAAATACATCTAAGACATTTAATTTATTGCTTAAGGTTTTTTCATGAAACAAAGAGATATATATACACCCATAATATGAAAAATCATTAATGAAAATAATAAAATATTTTTGTTTATTTTCCCCTTTCTATGAGACTAGTCTACAACCCATAAGAAGTTTTACGAACCGTAGATTGGTCTCGCAGACCTGAATCAGTAGCCAAAACTCCTGCAATCTATTTCCTTTTTGAAATCCTAAATGTTACACCATAAGCCCAGAAGATACACTCATCGGTAAGTTTAAGTAAAACCCAAATAGAACTTTATAAGCCCATTAGGTACACAGATAAATTAAATTTACTAAAATGAGATACGGCAAGTCCAGATCCAGAGAAGGCGTAGACCAGACCTCTAACCGTGAATGACCTTCAAGTAACCAACAAGAACAACCCATCTAAAGCGTACAAAGCCCGTACCTCGAAGCAAAAATGAATCTCTCGGGGCGTCAGGCCATAGGAATAAGTGTGTCGACTCAATTGAGGATAAGACCATGACGTATAGGACCCTAAGAGGGTCCTACATAAGCCACTTGACATACATACAATAAGAGAGTTTAAGTAAGACGTCTCATATGCCGAATTATAACTATGTCTTGACAAACCATTATTAAACATCATAAGAGAGGTAGGAATGTAAACCATACACTACGTACAAATTCTCAAGAGTAAACAATAAAAGCAATAAATGATCTTCAAGGATTTTTCCTCAAAGTATGAGGACTCACCAATACTATAGCGAATAGCAATCCGAATCTAGACACGAGCAGGAGGAGGAACGTTAGACCCTATATTATGAAACAATATAGGCACATGTATGCATTAGTACATCGAATGTACTAAGTATGAGAAAATATGCATAAACGTAGACGCAATATCATAGTAGGCTTAACACATGTAATGCATGATAGAATGGAACATTTAAAAGCTTAGAAAGCAAAGTCATTGAAACCATGAGACAAGGAACTTACCTTGAACTTTCAATGTTCCTGCAACCACAAGCACCACTGAAGCAAAATGTGTCAATCTGATACCTCATAAACAAATTTCAATGGTGCCCCATCATTCATTATCTTCTTCATAGAACCTGAGTAGATATGACACATACTGAGATTCTGCTTATTTTCGTACATGTCGGAAGAGGGGAGGAGTCAGATTATTACTCTGAGAATGTGATAAACATACCTATCATCAAACAGAATCATATTGAGTGAAACACCAAACTAACAACTTACATTCTAACAGTCCCACAATTTCATATAAGTTAAATACAAAGTCTTATGAGAGTAGATATCAGACTTTATTCGTCAAATAAAATTGCATAAACATACATGGAGAATAAAAATGCAAACTTTGATATGGAAAGACAGAGGATAAACACGTGTAGATTCTTATACACTTCGAGTAATTTGATGTTTTATATATATAAACTTCAGTAATGAGTCTACCGCAGAAGATTATGTTCGTCATACAAAATAAAAAGTGATGGTTCCTCTGTGAAACGTAACAGACCTTGTTAAACAGTAAAATTAGTTGATTACAAAGTGCCTATAAATTCTAAATAAAATCTTACCTACTGTAATGCCTGCCGCTCATGGGATTTGGCTTGATTTACCACATCAACATTCTAGCATGACCTTGGAACTAGTAACCTATAAGGAAATAAAGCATAATCGGTTTAAGTGGACAAACATCATGCTAAAATATAGCACAAATGCGATTGATTGATAGTTTTGCATTTATAATGTAAAAATAAACGCAAATATTTTCTTCTGGAACTCGTGGAAAATAATATTTGAAAATTTGACTCAAAAAGTGCAAGAGAAACATAGACTTACGCCTATCCTGAATTATATAACCGTCTACTTGAATTTTATGAATATGGGAAATGTTTGACCACTGGAGTTTCGACCACTCCTATTGGTACAACTTTTTTCTAACTGTGGGCAGCTATAAATGTAGAGTGTCCTTAAATTTGTGAGGCATTTCATGACATCTCTAGATGGCAGACGCTCTAGTTTTTTGCGGTTCTCTAAAGATATATATTCCAAAGAAGCAAGGTTGACGAGCCCACCTAATAGAGCTTCTAACAATGGACAATCATACATGGACAGATAGCGTAATTTGGGCATGACATTTGAGAAGTCCACATGTCGTAGACTTTTGAAACTCATAAGATTCAATGATTTAGGAGAAGTAAGGTTGCCAAATCTCTGAGGAAGAGCCTCGATTCTAAAATTATCTATACCAAAGTGTGTTAGGGACCAGGGTTGAATAAGCTGATAAGGCAGAGAATCCCTGTAAAAGTGTCCCCTAAGTTCAGTCTACGAAGGGACAACAACTGCTGAATACCATTAAAAATCAATTGGAATGCCTCAAAATCCACCGTCTCTGAGAAAGGACCGATTCCCAGATCCATTAACCTAATGAGACGGTAAAGGCCCCCTGAGGGTAAACTAATCAATTTGGAACAATCTGATATACACAAAGAGGAAAGTGAAGGCATTTCTCCCACATGTAAAGGCAAGGAAACAAAGTTCTTATAGACTAACATATACATAGCCTCTGGAGAATATAAACAATTCTCTCTATTGGGAACATGAAGAGAAGATAAATTGGGACAGTCGAATATTCGAAATGTCTTAAGATTGTACAAACTTTGTGGCAAATCACGAAACTCTCCACATTCTGAGACGGATAAGAATTGAAGAGAAATTTTGTTGCGTAGCATCTCATTTGGTACACAGGTGAGCTCTTTCACGTGATCAACAGTATGATCCACAAGAGATGTTAAATTATTGCATAAGTTCAACAATGTCATTTCACTGTCAACTCTTTCGATTATTAATTCACGTAGGATTTCAAATTGAGTTGGAGTACTTTGTAACAGTGGACAGTCTGTAATTCTCAATTTCTCAAGTCTAGGAAAATTCTTACTCCAACTTCATCTCCTTTCCACTCAATAAGGCTGCACATATTCACCAATACTAGTTATTTTAATGATAGGAACACATGGATATTGCCGTTATTGCTGCTTGATCCATTATAATTAATCTCAACACCATAAAATTTAGGTACGATCCATTCCAATTAAAGGAATCCTATCATCTCAATATGCCGAAGGAACTTCAGTTGGCCAAGCGATGGAATTTCTTTGCACTTTTTGCAAACACTTAATCTCAACTTGATCAAATTTGGTAGCAATCCTTCACTGAACCATGAAGGAAATATATCCCCGAAATAGTTCTCCACTTCTAAGGTTTTTAAGTTGGGATGTGGTTGAAGGCCATCCAACACATGGTCATCATTGATCTCATAGCCTTCTGTTTCATTGTGGGACCATAAATATGCCACGCTGGAGATATTTGGTTTCTCCTATATATATATATATGTTGTTCGCGCCTTTTCTTTATTTCTGACTAATTGGAGACGTCTGATAGTCAATTTACCTCGAAGGTTTTTCAAACGACCTGATTCTTCTATTCGACGATCTTTCTTTAAACTTACAAAGAACAATGGTAGCGTCTAAAGACTAGTCAATTGACCCATATTAAATGACATCTGAATATATAATCAGTAATGATTACTGTTTCAATATATGTGTCTCAAACTTATTATATTTTCCATTTCTTCTATAACTTTTCCGAGTGAAAAACAATTTTTGACTCTTAAGTGTTTGCAAATTGCAGAGCTTGCAAATGGAGTTGGGCAAGGTTGTGATGTTAGGGTTGGAGAGATCAAGATATCTGAAGAATATTAGCTTGCTAATTTTTCCTGATAACTCCACGATGCCTGATCCGGACAAATTTAAGACTCTCAAGAACTGAAAGCTCAATAGCATATCATAAGATATATTACTTTTCTAGAATAATGTGCACAAACGTCCTGACTCATTTATCATGTCCATTTTATCACTTGGTGAGACCCATTCAATGTATCCAACTTGAGAAAGTTTTTCTCCATCATTGCCCTTCGAATCAAATAGTTTAGATTTTAAGATATCTCCATCCAAATCGTGCATCTTATAGTACTTTATATTGTTGTGCTCCTCTAGCTCAACATATTGCAGCAAGGAATTTTGCAATAGGATTTGTAAAAAATTGTGCCCAACATCTTCTATCACGGTGGTCTCTTGATATGGATGGAGAAACCCTTCTGCCATCCAGATTCGGATAATTTGGTCCTTTTCAAACACAATCTTTTGGAAACATTGCAAAGTAAGCAAAACATTTTTAAAGATATGGTGATGGTAGATAAACATAGCTGAGTTTTAGGATTTCCTTTAAGCTATTCTCTCCATTATCATGTTCACCTGCAACAATTGGGTTTCCATCAAGAATAGTCCACCATTCATGTTTCTCCTTGTTGCGCAACAGGCCTCCCAACACACTTGCTCCAAACGGTAGACCTTTTCAACAATCCGATTCTTCACGCTCACTATTTCTTCCGGATCTTACCCATCATAAAATGCTCACTGTTTGAAAATAGACCAACAATGATCATTCGCTAATTTTTTGAACATATGAAGGCCTACTGTCGCTACTGTGGATGCCACCAGCTTCATACGAGTCATCACAAGAATGCAGTTTCCTCTTGATGTGTTTACTCCTCTCAAGCTGTCGATGAACTCATCCCACACTGGAAGGTCAAAACTCCACAAATCATCTAAGACAAGCAGATATATTTTTCCTCCTAGTTCATCTCGGAATTTCTTCACTATTATATCCCTGGTATGGACCTCAAGTTTCCGCTGTGTCAATGATTCGAGGATCTGCTCAAGAAAGCTCTTAGTGTCTGACATTTCATGTAGACACAACCAAACTCTCTTTTCAAAGTGTTTTTCGATCTCTTCATCATTGAAAATTCACTTAGCAATAGTAGTTTTCCCTAAACCCCCCACACCCACTATGGGAATAGCACACAGTACAACTTCCTCTCTCATGTTCAACATCTTCTCCTTAATTTCAACAACATTATTATCTCTACCAACAACATCCAAAGAAACTACTAAGAAATCTGTTTCTCGAATCATCGGTACTATTTGCTGAGAAGGAACTATGAGTGATTGGAGACCTAGGTCTTTGGATAACTGATTGATATCCCTCAACCCTTCATTTATATTCTTAATTTTTTGAGATATTTTGCTTATAAAATAAGATTGAGAAATGAAACCACTGACCTTCCTCATTGGACTGTTTTGAGCTTGTTCTTGTAGAGATTCATATAGGAATTATCAAGCACATTCTCAGCATCTTCACAAAATCTCTCAAGCATCATGAGCCATTTCCCACTGCTTGATCTTCGTCATCAACTTGTCGTCTTTGAGCATCATGAATGAAATCTTGAATAATAGATACGTTTTGTGTCATCCTTCTGAGATGCTTGTTGCAATCCGGCCTTACTTTCTCAATAGTGAGAGAAAGAAGTTTTTCAAGCAAAACTTGAATTGTAGCACCAGTTACAGGGTCAGCCATTGTTGAATTTGCTTTGTCTTTTTAATCCTTCACCAAAGTCTTCTCAAGGTTTTGGCACAAGTCTTTCTTTTGCTACTTGTTTATGGCCACTAAAGGAAACACAATAAAATTGGGTGTTTTTTTCTTCTTTTTCTAATGAATGGCAGTCACTTTCCAAATCAATAAGTGGTTTGGAAAAATTTTCAGGAAATATTACATTTTCCGTTTAAAAAAGAGTGAGCTAATTTAATGTGACACGGAGTTTTAGAAAATAAAGGATACTTTTGAATCTTATAATTTTAAATAAAATTTTTGATAAATGTAAAAAATTGTCCTTTGAACTTGTAGATTTAAACAAGTCATGCACTAATTTGAAATTAAAATGTTAACCCAAAAAAAAGAAAAAATGTCATTTTTTTAATAGATTAAAAATGAAAGGTCATTCTTTTTTAATATGAGGGAGTATTGAATTAATAACTCAGAAGTGATAAACAATTGGCAGTAACATTTAGCCAAGTTTTCTATTTCTTTTTCTTTTGATTGAGATTCTACTTTTCCAAGTTGGATGGTACTTACATATAAATGTTGCTACATGTGATTTACAACAGAACAGTCATATGTAGCAATATATGACTTCTCACCACAGAATAATTATATGTTGAAGCATGTACTTTTTTCCATAATTACTAATTACTTTTTAAATTAATTTCTTTGGTACAATGTCATTATTTGTAGGGATTGATTGTCGTAGTGATGGATCGAGAAGAAAAATCGATACATATGGCGTTGGGAGGATAGTAAAAAACGAGGAGTCGGTTCAGTAGGGATGTATGTCGAAAGAAACATTTTGTATGATGAATTCTTCAATTTAGTCATGCAAAAGTATGGATACAATTGTAAACCGCAAGATCTTGTCATAAGTTACATTCCCCATTTTTTCATAATGAGAAGGTTTTACCTTTTAGATTAACTGATCAATCTAGTTTGAGTGTTTATTTGGGAGGAACAGAGAAACCACCAATATTAAGAGTCTACGTGGAAGAAAATCCGGTCGAAGAGGATCATAATGCAGACCAAGTCCAAAAAGATATGTTTAATGATGAATTTGATCTTGTGGATCGGACATGAATAATCTCGACGATGAAATTTGAATAGGTGAAGGTGAAGTTCAAGCTGAAGGGTCGAACCTTGAGAGCAACTTTCCTCCTACACCTATAGTTGGCAGCAACAATGCATGTTCTTCACAATTTTCACGTGTTAATAATGTTCGAGATAATGAGATAGGTTTTTATAAGGGAATGACATTCAAGAACAAGCAAGAACTGATAAATTCATTGAAAATTGCTTGCTTGAAAAAATATTTTAGACTGAAAAAGATTATCATTTCTCTAAATGTTCATATTGGATCACAATTGGTGGCTAAGGGCTGTGAATTTTACAAGTAGCGACAGTTTTGCCATTAGAATCTATGAAAAGTACCATAAGTGTGGTTCAGAGTATCTTACAAGCCATAATCCCAACGCCACGACACAAGTCATAAGTAACTACTTTGAAAATAGGTTTCCTAATCATAAAGGCCCATCCACAAGAAACATGTCAAATCAACTCCGCACAGAATTAGGTTGTAAAGAAAGCTATTGGATGATTTATAAGGGCATGAAGCATGCTAAGCTTAATATTAGGGGAACACAAGAGCACGGGTATGCAGTGCTTAATGTATATGGTTATATGCTTGAAGTTGTGAATCCATGAAGCAAAACGACATTGTCGCTCGATGAAAATGGGAGGTTTCAATGTTCTTTGTATCATATGTTGCTTAGATAATTGGTTTTCAAGAAATTTGAAAAGTAATAGCCGTTGATGGCACATTCCTGAGGAGCAAGTATGGAGGAGTTTTGCTATCAGCGTGGCACAAGATGCTGAGAATCATATATTTTCAGTGGCTTTCTGTGTCGTGGACAAGTAATATGATGCCTCATATGAATTTTTTTTAAAATATGAGAAGCTTTGTAGATGATACTGATGAGTTGTGCATTATCTTTGATAGGTGTCCAAGCATTCAAAAGATGGTTATGAGAATCTACCTTGCAGCTCATTATGGTTGTTGCATGAGACACCTTGGGGATAATATTAAAACTAACTTTAAAATTTCGAAGATAGTGTCCCATTTTTAAAAAACAGAAAAGGCGTACGATATATTTGAGTTCAATGACCATTTCAATCAAATAAGAGATTTGGTACCAAGGCGGATGAAGCTCTTGAACGTATTGGATTTCACATGGACTAGGGCATTTTTCCCGGAAAATAAGTACCATCTCATTTTGAGTTTATTTTTACTTTATGTGCGTTGTTTGATTTTTATCTTTTGTTGTGTAGATATAAAATTATGACGTCAAACATCATGGAGTCTATGAATGCAATGTTGGATGTTAAAAGAGAATTCCCATTGTCGTACTATTTTATGAAATAAACAGGATATTGCATTGTTATTTTATCAGAGGCGTATGGAACTGGTGCACTCTGCAAAGTGATTTGTTCCCTCAATTGAAAAAGACATATTATGGTATGTCAATGCGGGCAACAAGTTGTTGGCCCATCAAATCGCTAACTAGAAGTTCAGTGTCACTAGTCATGGAGATGGTTCTACTGCGAATCTACAAAAAAGAACTTGTACTTAAAGAATTTTTGACTTGGACAAAATACCTTGTCCACATGACATGGCAGTGCTTCGATCCCAACATGGTGCAGATTTTGGAAATCAGATTTACATGTACTAATCTCCATATTATTCCGTGGAAAAATACACAATGACATATTGTCAGAAAATTCACCCGGTGCCACTTGAAGATTCTTGGATTGTCCCTTTGGATATCATACAGAGAAAAATACCTCCTCCATATGTTGATCCAAGTAAACCCGAAAGAAGGATATAGAAGAGACTGCATGGAGTTGGTGAATCATTTCCAACAAGAAAAAATAAGTGTTCCGTTTGTAGGGACTTCGGACACAAAAAAGCTACATCGCCAACTTTAAATGCCCCATAAGAATGATCCCTATCTTCTTATCTTATTTATAATCAACTTATGTGATGTTATTTGTACATAATGTGTGATTTATTTAATTATGTGTTGCTACGTGCAACAAAATATTTCATATGTTGCAACACAAGAAAATTATGTCTTGCAACTTAACACAAAATATTGCATCTGTAACAACCTATTCCAATTATATATTAGAATATTTCATGTGTCGCAACATATGTCGCTTATGTGTTAGATCATACAACATAAAGTTGCATCTGTGCCAACATATGTCATTTATGTCTATTAAGTACCACAAAGACGAATCTGTACCAACATATTCTAAAAAAATATTTTCGTGTAATATGATGATATCATTACTGTCATTGCAACTATGATGACGCGACTCTTTATACTACAACATATTTCATATGTGGCAACATATGTCAATTACACATTTAAAATCTAATTACGAATCTGTCCCAATATACTTTTAAATAATGATTACGAATCTATCCTAATTACTGTCATACTGTCATCTAGAAACAGTGACAGGTATATTAATTACAAATCTTCTACTTTTACCCTTTGTTGAAAAGTCATCTCTTGCAACTTTTCGAATTTCGTTGCATATTTTCAAATTTCTTGGCATTTTATAAGAACACAACACAAGGGAGGGATAAGTCATAAGTTATCTCAACAATGGTTTCAAGTAGTAAAAAAGTCATTGAATCCCTCCCGATTGAACTAGTAATTCTTATCGTGTGTGTGTGTGTGTGTGTGTGTGTGTGTCCTTTAAAATTAATCATTTGTCATAGAAGAATTGTTTTATGTATTTTGGCATAAACGTGCGATGCACATTCCCAGATACTAGTATGTATATATATATATATATATATATATATATATATATATATATATATATATATTTATATATATAAGAAGAAGAAGAACAAAACTTAGGTCTTTTCATATAATTATCTCCAAGATGGGAAGAAAGAATATGAAATCTTCAAAAATGACATTGAGGAAAAAAACTATATTGAATCCCTTCCGAATGAACTAGTAATTGTTATAGTTGAAAGGGTTGCTTTCTACTCCCTCAAAAATTTACTGAGGGTTCAATAAAGGTGTGTATCTGTGTATTCAAGAATTTTCGTACTTTAATTCTATTTTTTGACCATTCGATTTGATTTTTTTAGTCCAGGCTTCTAAATAAGGTCGTTAATGAACCTTCTATATATCAGAAGGTAAATTTGTGCATCATTCCAGTGTTTATATGGATGTCTTCATGTTATCGGAGATGTACTTCTTTAATGGAAAAGTGTTGCGAATTGGGGAATTTAGAAGCCTTATACAGAATAGTCCTGGTAATTTTAATGTTTTTCGCATGTATTCACGTATTTACCAATGTATTTTACATTTTAATTGTGTTATTTCTTCATTAGCATGATATTTTCAAGTGTTGCGATTCAAATTGATTGGGAATGCTTAAGCGAGCAGCAGACGATGGTCACCTTTGTGCAGGATATGTGCATGCCATAATTTTAATCTTCAAAGGTGGTGAATCAATGAGAGAAGACACAAGTTTCATTGGCAACATGAGTATACCATCGCTCAGACGATGTCAAGACTATTTGCGACATAGCTAACTTGGAATGTTCCCACAGGAACCTCAAAAAATTGGATAAAGACCAATTTGTTGCACTACTCATCAATTCTTATACGGCCGATATGGTTGTGACTTATGTCGTTGTGATTATGAATTAGATGAATTAGTTAGTTTTATGGGATATTTCCTAAATAAATATAATTTTGTCCAACTTGATGTTTCGTTCATTAGTTATATAACACCCCAATAAACCATTTTTTCAAATGTTATACCTTATTTTTATTGCTTAGTTATGGTATTAATCACTAAAATTTTTGTCCAAATTTTTATTTTTTCCATTCCAAAGTCGATCAATTCGTGGATTAGTCCCTCCTAGATGTTTCATCTGTGACAACATATGCATATTATGTTGGCAAAATTTCAACATATACTACATTTGTGGAAACATCCTACTTAAACGTGTAAGTAC